ACTTCTGGTAGTAGTAGGGACCTACGCGACCACGTGATTTCCGGCTGTGGACTTCCGGTGGCGTTGCATGCGATCGTTAAGTTGGCCCCCTCGTGGACTACGATGATTTCTTTGCTGGGAGAGGGGCCCAAAATTGTGGGCGGGACTTAATGAATGAAAAAGTGAATAAATGAGTTAATAATGGATGAATAAATTAATGAATATATGACTCTGAATTTCAAAGTCTCTTGTCAGAGGTAAGCCTTGGTGGCCAGTGGTGAACCGGCAATGGTTTACTATCCGGACGGCAATGGTTTACTATCTGCACGGTAATGATTTACTATGCGGCATGGCCATAGTCTACTACCCGCACGGCTTCCGGACGGCAAATGGTTTACTATCCGCACGGCAATAGTCTACTATCCGCACGGCAATGGTTTACTATCCGGTGCCCTGGCTATCGGTGAACCTCTGTGCAAGGAGGGAGAATGAAGGGGGGCTTTTGACTATCGTACCATTAACAATTTAATATTGATTAGTTAAGGTAATTAAATAGGTAGATAGGATTATTTTTATTAAGCAATTTGAGATGCAAGCACCGCTAAGCTTTCTGATGAGAATATTATCTTTATCTTTCTCCATCCCACGGGCTGTGTTTCAACAACAATTTCAAGAAGGACTGGCACCAGTTTTGGAGGACAACGTAGGAACCGGAAGGCATTCATCATTCTGCCTTTGTCGAATGAACGACGGTAAGTTTTTTTTGCATTTTACTCTCTTTATTATTTTAAGATATTATTTATTTGCCATTATTTTCATTTTCTAATTTTTTGCTTCTAAGATTTTAACATTCATTTACTACCAAGCAAAAAAAAATATTTTGTCTACAGAACGATGAGAGGTGGGCAGAGGTGGGAGTCAGCACGTTTCAGATGGTGGTCTCATGATGATTTGCACATGATGATGGTGGTGTATGAAGAATCAGCTCGTTGGCTGTTCGACAGACACTGAAGTTCGGATGAAATCTTGTGTGCCGATCTGAATGTGGTAGTCGGTGCAATGAATTACAGTAACGCCGATTTTTGAAGTAAGGTCTTTTAATTTTTTATTTCGTTTTTTTTAATTTCGTCTTTTAATTTCGTCTTTTAATTTTTCTCATTCATTCATTCATTTTATCACTCAATCTTTCAAATTATTTTTCCATTAATTTATTTTTTTTAATCATTGAAACATTGATTGATTACTTAACTAATTAATTCATTCACTCACTCAAGCATTCAACATTCTGCCTTTGTCGAATGGACGAAAGTAAGTTTTTTTTATATTTTACTCTCTTTGTTATTTTAAAATATTATTTATTTGCCAATATTTTCATTTTATAATTTTTTCATCTAAGATTCTAACATTCATTTAATACTACGCTAATAAAAAAATTGTCTACAGGATGCTGAGAGGTGGGTTGTGGTGGGCGTCAGCACGATTCAGGTGGTGTCTCATGATGATCGTTCCGATGACAATTCGAAGAGAA